ACCCTGAACTTGTTGCCAGCCAATCACAGGGCACACATAGACAAACAAACAACCGCGCTCACACTCACACCTTGGGACAATTTAGAGTGTTCCATTAACCTGCCACGCATGTTTTTGGAATGTGGAAGGAAACCGGAGTACCCGGAGAAAACCCACGCAGGCACGAGGAAAACATGCCAACTCCACACAGGAAAGCCGGAGCCAGAATCGAACCCTGCATTTCTGCACTGTGAGGCGGACACGCTAACCAGTCGTCCACCGAGCCGCCTTCATGAATTAAAGTTAAACATTATTACAATTGACACCAAGTGTAAACAAAATAAATGGACTATTATTAGAAAATTTAAGGGAATTTCTTTCGATTTGAGGGAGGAGTTTTAATTGAGAAAGGCCTCTAGTCATCGCAAATGGATGACGTGCCCACTGATATATTGGTGTGCACGTCAATTTGAGGCACGGCCATGACAGTATGTTTTTTTTTGGGGGGGGGTTGTTTTTGTTTTGTTTTTTTAAATAGCATATCACATTCAAGACGCTTTCTCCAAATGATGCAAGATGAACTTAAAAGGTGTCTGTTTTTTTTTTTAATGCAATCTTTATTTGTTTTTAATGGATGACACGGCTGGTGACTTATTGGGCATGGCGTCTATTTGAGAGCTATCCGATATATTCGTTACTGTTCTCGTGTTTCCAATCTGTTTCCAATCAGCTCTGTTTCCTTCAATTCATGGCACTCTTCCTGGTTGCAATCATGCACATATTTTAGTGAATGTGATTCCTCAAGCAGAATTCCCACTTTCATCCCAAACGACACAGTTAACGAAAGAAGTGCGGTGAAAAAGGGGGCCGCATTCACATTTCTCGCTCAGAGACCCCTCCGAAAGGGAACTATAGCAACATCATTCAAATAGCCAATCCTGCAGGCCACTCATGTTTGATTGACACTTGGCCACAGAGCACACTGATGGACAAGTGGCATTTATGAGGCCATTACATGAAAGCGTATTCACGAGGCCGTGCTCCGCATTGCAAAACGGCACCGGTCACATGCGGCGCCACATATTTGTGGCATATTTATCAGCTACTTCTTCATGTCCTCAATGGTGCCATTGTGTGTGAATTCCATTAGCAATTCTGTTGTAGTAAGCCCAAGAGTATCAGGGCCCGCATTGTAAGGGACAAATGTCAACCCCTTCCAGACGCTTCTGAACGAAGCCTCCAGAGCTTTGCAATCAATGATTTTTCATCCGCTGTTGAATATGCAAAGAGTCTCCTAATCGCCTGCATGGCTGTTTTTCAACATGTGCACTGGGGGAGAGAGAAGAGAGAGGCCAGCCACACCCCTCTTCTGAGTGGCCCTCAATGACGAGAAGAAAAGGGGAAGAGAGATTCTGGCCCGTTCTTTCTCTTAATGAGCAAATCAATGCATCTGTCCCTCAAGAGAGACAGGCATAGGGGACTTATTGGGGACCCCGAGGACCAGGCCAAAACACTCACATAAGAAGCAGTTACTGCTTGCTGTGAATGGAATCCTTTTCGAACTTGCACAACAATAAACAGGCTATAGCCTCACATTGAGCAGAGCTGCAATTAATTCAGCAGTTTGACCTGCTTGCTAGCTTCTCCTTGTTACCGCCGCTGGAGGCCTCCTGGCTCTTGGGGGCTTCACGCATACATAAACACGCGAAATGTCCTCCGAATTTCCAGTGAACCTGTCCCATATTGTGCATTTGTAAGCTGTTGCCGTGTTTTGTTGTATGAGTTTTATACAGGCAAGTCTGAATTTAGAGTTGTGCACTTTGCTTGTTGTTGTACCAGTGAGCACTGATGTCTGCTGGAAGAGAGGCTTGTGTTGAAAATTAGAGTGGCTACAATTGGGTGCATTTACATTTTAATTTTATATTGTCCATGTAATGTACTTTGTATCTTTATATCAAGTACAGGAAAAAGGGAGAACCAATGTCTCTTTGACAGTCGATGCTTGACAGTCCCGAAGCAGACTTATAGCTGCTCTCCCATTGGCTAAGAGGGACCTCTACCGAACGTGTCTTTGTGTGGAGATAGATAGACACGTGTCTATGCAGCGTCCTTGTCATTCGCCCCTCAGGCCATGCGGTGTTTGGATAGTTATATGTAAATGTGAATCGCCCAGAAAAAGTGTTCACCAGTCGGGCGATCACTCACTATGCTGATGTTTGCCTTGGACATTTTCAAAGAATTTTTAAAGGGCCGACAAAAGCAAACTTCCTTGGATCATTTCTTTACAAAACGCCTGGCAAAAACCACTTCTGAGAGAGAATGTGAACTAAATAGGGCAAAAAACGACGCAGGGACGCAGTTGAAAGTTAAATGACCATCATTTTTATTCTTTATTCTATTCTTTGTTTTTAACATTGTGCACAACTCTCATTTATTGTGCAATAATCTAATTGTAACATGTATTTGTTACATATTTTGATGCATTTTTATGCTTCATAAAACATTTATGTCTGAATTTTGGGCGGCTTGGAATGGATTAGGGCATTTATATGGAAAATGCGTCTCTACTTACAAAATCTCTTTCTCCAAGAAATCTCTTCCCAAACCAATTATTTTCGTAATTAGAGGTACCACTATATTACCGTATTTTTTATTTTATGTTAACTGTTCTGGAAAGCGCTTTGTTACAGCTACAGCTGTTGTGAAAGCGCTGTATAAATCAAGATGTGTTGTATTTTGGGTTGAAATACAGTGTACAGTACAGTGTTTAAATCCCTTGTTTTGTCTGCCACTTTACTAGTAAACTAATTAGGATGGACAAATAAACAGCTTGAAGCATTCAAGATAACTGCACTTTAATACTTAGTAGTAGTGGTGCGACAATTAATTGATTAATCAACAGCGAATCGATAATCGAACCAAGCAACAGCTATAAGTAAGATTTACACTGAATATTTTACTCTAAAATGTTACTAAGTTTAGACTGAGACCAAATTTAGGCTTTATAGAGTAAAAATGTACTCTATGAAATTACTGTGTAGTAATTATATTTGTGTTTAATCAAAATAAGTCATTTGCAAACATAACTATTTATTTTTGTGTATTTTCTCTGCTGTCAATTTGAAAAACAAATGTTTGTGAATAAAGAGGTGGAAATTCCCATTCATCGATGAATCAACAATAATAACAATTGACATATTAATCAATAATTAAACTAGTCATTAGTTTCAGGCCTACTTGAATTTGAATAGAGTTTGAATATGTTTTAATCTGTTTAAATTTGTTTGAAGCATGTAGGAGAGGTAAAGCCATATTGTCTCTCTGTATCACAGCTGGGTCTGCGATGTATCCCCCATGGTGGACAGGTTCACTGTACCACGAAGACAAAGCAACACCCCCAAAACAAGTTAGAGCTTCGCATATTTCGATTGTGCATCCCATATGACTGTGAAAACACCCCCCTCCACACACACACACACACACACACACACATACACACACACACACACACACACACACACACACACACACACACACACACACACACACACATACAACAGCAACATGCTCATGGTAGAGTGCACCTAAAGGAGGGGAGGCTGGGGTCTGGGCAGGCTGGGCGTGGTCGTGAAGGGGTGCGCGCACGCACGCACGCACGCACGCACGCACGCACGCACGCACATACATATTAAACTGGTCTTTCGTCTTTACGTGGATTATTTTGAGCCTTAAGATTGGCGGTTGGGTCTCATGTATGCGCTTTCACAATTTAAAGGGAGGAGCTGGTGGCAGATCAGGATAGGGAGGGAGATGGAGAGGGGCCGGGGGAACCCTCAAATAGTCCCAATTTGTGGCAGCTCATGCCTTCATAATGAAGTCCAATGAAGCGAGAAAGTGCTTGCTTAAGGCTGCAGTCCTGATGTTCCCCAGACAGCTTTGACATGAGTGGAAACAAGAAGTCTACTTTTGAAAGACCAATTATTGAAGTTTTAATAACATGAGAACTCTGTGTTCTATCAACACAATATATGGGGAATTTAGCTGGAAATCATGCAACAAGTGACAGTTTTCAATCATAATTGGAGTACTCTCTGGGAGCATAACTGGACAAATCTGTCGTGTACTGAAAATATACAACATTATATTAGTACATTAAACATCTTATGTAGTTGTAAATTCAAAGTGGAATGGCTTCATTCATGAAATTGAAGCAAAAGATGACTAGATTGTTCAACTGCCAGGTCCTTCAGCATAGCTTCTACTGTAACTACCAAATCTTGTCAGTTTCTTATTCATTACATAACTATTTGTGTAGAGAAAAAAAAATCAACACAATCTGTCCTCGGACACTCCAATGACCTTCTTTTGTTTGAAATTCAAGGTGTCAGTTCGATGAGCATCAAGGAATGAATTGTTTGTGTGTATTTTGCTTTTTTGGGGGGCTTTTTTTCTGAGAATTTGATTCTATCATTGGAGTCGGATCCTAAGCCATCACAATCTTTTTTGAATGTTTTACAGTGGTTAACTACTTTTTACACTTTTTGAGATATTTTTTCACAAGTATGACGAAAGTCAGCTTAGCATCACACCTTTGTCATTAGTATTAAAACCAAGCATTTACTGGTTTCACATCTTAACATCATAGAGATTCTTTTTACACTTGGATGTCAGTTAAAAATGCTAAACTGTGACTTCAAACACTGACTGTACAGTTAATAAATGTTTTATAAACGCAAAGGTTTAAACATATTTTCATTTTAATTGCTTCCTGTGGGGGGAAAAAATGGATTTTATATTGTTTTATGAACTCCTTTGCTGGAGTTGGTCACATTTCAAATTGTTAATAAGATCAAAATAGTGTCATTGAAAGAGAAAAGGCAAGGACGGTGGTCAAAATATTGACTTCTTTGTCCCTCAAATGGATTTAAATTGAACTATAACAATACATCTGTGATTACATTTTGCTTTCTCCTCTTATGCTCTTTCACTCTTCTCTTGTGATTTTTTTTTTTCTCTTGCAGATCTGGTTTGCATTTGTCAATGGCTTCTCGGGTCAGATTCTGTTTGAACGCTGGTGCATCGGCTTGTACAACGTGGTGAGTGTTGATAAAAGCTTTGCAGTCTACTGAGCTTAACGCTCCCAAAAGAGCTGTGGTTGGAAGCAGCTCTTCATTGCGGGATTGTGTCACGAACATCCTGAAAACCCTCCAGTGTATTAATGACCCTTTGTCAAAGACCAACCTTCCCCTGTGGCCTAAACTATGCACTGAATGTGAAAGAACAACAGTTTGGCTTGCTCCAGGAAGTGCCGTTAACCAGCGCAGCTATGCTTGTATGATATTAAAAAGCAAAGGAAGGGGAGTCCCGCAGGGCTCTATAGTGGGGTCACTCCTAATTAAGTCATATTTCATATCTGTCATGACTTTGCTGAAGTAAAAATGTCCATCTGTATGCTTCTGATCCTTAAGTGGACGTTCTTGCAGTCTTGTCCCTCGCATTAATTTCTCAGTAAACGACCTTCTCGGTCACACTGGTGGGTGCAGCCCAAATTCCTGTGGCTCCGTGGGAGTCTGTCGGAGGCATTGGTCTGAATCCGCTCCTAAATGGAGGTCTTCCCCGGAATAAGAAAGCGTGTCACGCAGACCAATGCCTATGCAGACGTCTACTCCTGATGGTACCAATGAGAAGTCACACTAAGGGACCCACTCAAGCCTCGGCCTCTAAACCCCTTCTAAACACCATCTCTCGCATTACAACACTGCTAAATCATTGCACTTTTAGCCAGGCTGGAATACCATCCGATGAGAGAGATGAGTTTTTTAAGCGAGCAGATGTGACACATCCAAAGTAAGGAAATATGAGAGGTTTTATAGTCTTCTCACTTATCCTCAGTGGTTCAAAACAAAGAGAGTGGGCCAGGAAGAGGAAAAAATGAAGAAATCTCAACAGGTATTTGCTTCGAGCTGTGAACCTGCAATACGAGCAAAGTGGAAGGTTTGCATGGCATCATTGTCTGACGAAAGCATGCAAATCGTTCAATATTGTTCTTTTTTTTTTTTATTTAAAACGCAAAGACCTAAAACAAGATTTAAATGATAAAAAAACACATCTAGAGGTTATTGTTTTCCATTGAATTATGAATGAACCTTTTTTTCCCCTTTTTTTAATCAAGAGTTAGAGATGCATGTTTTTTTGGGCAGCAAATTAAAATGGATAAAAAAAAAGTCAACATTTTGAGTTAGGTGTTTTACAGTGTTGTTATTTTACAGTGGAGAAAAAACTGACTGAAAACTGAGAAGTTAATTATGACATCCGCCAGTGTATAAAAGTTCAAAAACTTGCTTTACTGTCTGTCTTTCATTGGATAGAAGTCATATTCAGCAGTTGATTTTGAAACCATAATTTCACCCATACAAACCTTTCCCCCGTAAATAATTACTTTCTAAATCAGGCATGAAATATTTAAACATTTGAAGTGTACGTCTACTATCATTCCCAGACTGCAAAAACTAAAGCTCCAACCACTAAATGTGTACGTACGATGGCCAATTCAGATTAATAGCCGTGGGCCTCCACATTACAACATGGGATATTTGCAAAGAAAGAGGTCATACAGATGGATTTTTTAAAACAACTTTTATTTGGCTAAAACACCGACAGACACATACCCCCCCGCCCCCCAAACAATGCAGAAGGCATCTAGTTATTCCAGTAGCATCCTAGAACCGTTCTGAGTCACTCTTGTCACACGAGGCAAGTTCGCGAGCTTCACCACGCAACAGTGCAGCCTTTGGAAACATGTTTGTTACGTGTTGGAGAAACGCTGTGGATGCAAAGGACTTATTATTGTTGTCAGCGATGGTGGGAATCGGTCACCAAACAAACAACCGAGAGGCAGATGTTGCACTGCAGACATGGCTGTATTTATGGCACGCGTTCCCGATGCCAACTCAAGATTCTTCTTTTCGCTCTCAATTGCTACTTAAACAGTCATACGCCGCGATGCATACAGTCTTTCTTATTTCTTTCTTCAGCCAGCCTGCTCTACCCTCCTGGGTGCACATTCCAACTGCAATGTGGCTGATGAATATTCAGTATGAGGGTGGACTCAGACAGTTTAATTGGTCCACTGTGACATGATTGGTCATTTGCATTGGTAAGATGTGCCAGGACTATGGGTAAATCTTTTGATAGCTTGAAGCTTGGCAGTAAAAAAATCAGAACTATTCCACATCACTTAAAAGGCACAGGGTTCAAAGATTGGGGGAAAAAGTAACAACTAGTCTAAAAAAAAAAAAATCACTTTTTCCCAAGTGTTATTTCTGTACAGAAAGTGAAGGAGGAAGATTATTAGGCGAATAACTTTTCTGTGATTTTAAAATTGATTGTCCAACTCCAACATTTGTTGTGGAAACTAAAAAAAAAAAAAGTTGAATTTTTTGCTTTATTGCGAACCACTACTTTTAACTATTGTTTCTGAGAAACTGCCTAACATCTGTATTGCGTGGAGTCCACAGCCAAAAATGCTCAGATGACCGCAGCATTAGGCTAGCAGTACAACATGATTCTTAGACACGGAAGCAGGAAGTAGTCCTAGTTCTAGTTTGACGAAAACATTGACACTCACTAGCAATTTGATGCGGATGAGAATGACGATGTGAACATAATAGGAAGGAATTTGAAGCTAAAAACAAAGGACTGAAAAGGAGCCCTGATATTTCGTTTTTCTTCTGTCCATGTGTTTTAATTTGTTGTCCAGATCTTCACCGCCCTGCCTCCTCTCACTCTGGGAATATTTGAGCGCTCATGTCGGAAAGAAAACATGCTGAAGTACCCAGAGCTCTACAAAACCTCCCAGAATGCAATGGGATTCAACACCAAGGTAAACTGCTTTTGCAGCACTTTTTCATGGAGTAATACTTGCTGTTGCCCAAGTTGGGGGTTAGCCCTGGGCTAGTGTGACCTGTCTAGTTAGCCAGGCAGGGTAATTTTAGCGGGGGTTGGGACAGTGTTGGGTTCCTCTTATTAAAACAACAATGAAGATGTCTCCTCTTTTAAGCACAGGGGGCTCCTGTACGCTCCTCACATGCGTGGTGACCTGGTTAGTGCGGCGTTAAGGTGGAACAAAGAGCGATTTGCCATGGGGGTCACGGGCAGGCAAGGTCAGACGGGTGTTTGGGCCGGTGGTGCAGAAAGAACCAGGGGGGTGTAAAAGATGTCACATGATGCTGTTTGCCATGGAGAATTATGCAATTTGTTTAAGCACAAAACCATTTGTTCAAGTTTACCCTCAAGCACACGGGATGACGTTGCGTCAGTCCTAGAATCAGTTGGTGAGATATGAAGCAGAACGTGATGTATATTACTGTATACACGACTCACTAAAATTTGGGATATTAGATTTTCGGGGGAAAGTTTAGGATGGACATAAAAAAAATGTACTATAACCTTTACACGTGAGCTTAATTTGATTTTTAAAGGGCATTTTCCTTTTTATACTGTAGACCTGTTATTAGCCGTTACCTTGATTGAGCCCGTGGGGCATCAGGTGTCAAACTCCGGTCATCTGGCCCGCTTTCCTGCATGTTTTCCAGCTCTCCTTGTTATAACACACTTGATTCAAATGATCAGAATCATTATCAGGCTGCCACAGAGCTTGCTTGATGAGCTGGTCATTTGAAGCAGGTGTGTTGCAGCAAGGAAAGCTGGAAAACACACAGGAAAACGGCCCCCGAGGACCGGAGTTTGACACCTATGCTCTAGGTCAACGACAAGTGACTGCTGCATGTGGCTACAATGCATCTGCCGCATTACCTGTATATTATATTTATACACAACAAAACAAAAGATCAATAAGTAATAGTCATCTCATACGTACCAATGGCATCTATTAGCGCTTCACTTTAGCTCTAATACAGTAGTTCTCAACTGGGCTTTTCAAATTGATTATTTGGATTGCTCTAATAATTCCACAGCTGGGGCCAAGATTCGAACCCTGACCTTCAGAACTCTCCACACACACATATGCGCACACGCACGCATTTTCTCCATGACCTGACATGAAATCGAATCTGTGGCCATGTCTGCAGCTTGTTGTTGACACCGACTTGTGCACTTTATTCTTGTGTATTTTATTCTGCCCAATTGTTTTCTTGAGTTAAAAAAACTCATCTTTTTTAGATTGTGAAACAAAGCTTTTTCTGTTGAGGTGAGGGGAGGAAATAACCCAGGGTGGCAGAATGTGAATTTTTCACCTTTTAACAACATATTCCTTACACTTAGGTCACCCACATAAACCTCTCTTTATGTAGCCTTGGTGTTTACAGCCATGGGCCAATTTGCCCCTCCCTTCCCACCTCGCCCATTCAACAACAGTCCGCTCAATATTTGTCTTAACATTAATTACCGGATTCAGTGATTGGATTCAGTGATTGTGTGTGTGTGCGTGCGTGCGTCCTTGTGCAATTAGGAGAGCCACAAAGACAAAATCTATGCAACACAGGTCCCACTGTGACAGCCAATTATGAACATTTATTGATTTCATTAGCATTCATCCTTTGCGGAGGGGTTTTGTATGCACTCCCACTGGTTTGTGAGCAGAATTGTGAAGGCCAAACTGTGAGGCTAATTGGCATAAATGTGCTTGTAGAATGAATGATAATTTGGGCAGCATCTGACCAGCGAGAAGGAGGGGTGGGACGGGGGATTCTTTTAGCGTAATGGCTTTTGTGGACACAGTGAGAGGGTGAGGTAATCCAGGGAGGGGTGGGAAGTTGGAGGAGCATGCTTGGGAGGGCGGGGGTGGGGCGCAATTGGACTTTGGTAAATTAGGATAGGAAAGGTGAGGAGGTCGGGCCACTGAGGCCAATGTGCACAAGCAACGGCCTACAGCCCCAATTCAGCCCAGTTCCATTTAAAGAAGTGTCATTCATACCAATTAAAATCCCCCGAAACGGTCCAGTTTTCAAGGCTTACAGCTTGTTTTACATAACGCTTTACGGACAGATGTGCTGAATCAGTCAAAAAGTGTGTTTAAAATCCACTCAATGAAAAGAGCCCGGACCATTTATTTTTGAAGTCTTGGTGTTAAATTTTTGGTACCAACATGGACATCCCAAGTGGGGCATTTTTTATGTTGGCAGAATAGATTTCGTGGTAATTTCACGCTACATCGCTCATTAGTGTTTTACTTGGCACGTGCTGTGTGGAATGTATATTTGGAGCAAGTTTGTTTTACGCTCGATGTCAAAGACTCACCTTACGTCTGCATATACCAACAGGCTTTAATAATTTTCAGTACCTTGACAACTCAGAGTACGTGTGTGTACGTACGTGCATGTGCGTGTGTGTACACACACTCAAATCTGCTTACTTAAGGCTTAAGCTTGTCACTTAGCTGGCATACAATGTGCTGAGTCTGAATGAAATTAACTGTTTATCAGTCAAGGAATCATTTTCAGCCACAACATGGGCATAGAACACTGGACGTGAGGAAGTTTACCCAAAATAGTTATCATGTCAAAATATGTTTTCATGTAAATATATATAATATTCTAATTGTAAATATAAATATCTAATGAAAACTAACAAGAGAACATATATGATAATAAATAATAACATATCCATTATTTTCAGAAATAAGAAGTAAAAAAAAAACGTGGAATGTAGAGGATAATAAAAAGCAATCAACTTATTGCAGTAATGGTATGATAATAAATAGACTAACTACAAAGTAATTACACTGGTCAACAAATGTTAAAATATTTAAATCAGAGATTCAAGTAAATTTTTCAAGATGAATTTTTTGCACTGATTCAGTCTGCCCTCGTTTTTTTTTCTCAAGCACGAATTATGAATTAAGAGTTAGATTGAGCAGCAGGTGATTTTTTTTTTCTTGAAACATCATCGCCATAAATTGCAATGCATGGTAAAATCCGTATGACCAAGCTTTTATAGATCACATTTAAAAACAAAAAGATGAAAATATCTCAAATACCTGATGACCACATTTTTTAAATCGGCGTCAAAACTATGATATGTATCACATAAAGCCATCTCTGAAAATTTGCTGCTGACCAGTATTGTTTATTAAATAATTAAATAATGGCATCAAATAACTTTTTTATTGAAAAGATAATTTATATGGTAATGATTGTATAATCTGCAATAGCAAAAATACAAAAAGATTCAGATTGTCATAATAAAAATATTTAAAAAATTAAGTATATTTAAAAATCAATTATTCAAATTGGAATGAATTTAAAACAAGTAATCTTCATTCCAAGAATTACTCTGGTAGTACAAGTTTGGTATTTTTTTTCATCCATCCAGATCCATCCATTATCCGAACCGCTTATCCTAATGAGGGCCGTGGGCCTGCTGGAGTCTATCCCAGCTGTCTTTGGGCAGCAAGTGGGGTACACCCTGAACTGGTTCCCACAACTTTTCGCGCTCACAATCACACCCTGGGGGCAATTCAGAGTGTTCAATTAACCTACGGTGCATGTTTTTGGAATGTGGGAGGAAACCGGAGTACCCAGAAAAAACCCACGCAGGCACGGGGTTTACATGCAAACTCCACACAGACCGGAATATCCGGAGAAAGCCCGCGCAGGCACAGGGTTAACATGCTAACTCCACACAGTAAGGTCAAGGCCTGGAATCGAACCCTACGCCTCTGCACTGTGAGCCGGACGTGCTATCACCGTGCTGCCCTGGAATTTTTCCAATCATTTGATCAGGGCCACCAAATGATGTCAGAGGTGATCGAGTTGCCCTCAAAGACCACATGAGTAGCCTGCAAGCTGTTCTCACAATAGCCCCGTTAGTCAGTGTTCATAGCAAGCCAAATTGGACATTGGGATTTCCCAGGAATGTTGTAGAAATGTGAAAATCTAAACACTTGCAGAGACAGCAACGCGTCACTTATACTGTAGGTATGTATCGCTTTCCTACCCGGTTAAACTAATGTTGATAATTACTTACAAGTCGTTAAAACATTAAAAAGGCTCTTTGAGCAAATTTAATATTTCAGAAGTGCAAATCACACTGGTAGCCCTTTGCATTAGTCACTCCCAATGAAGTAAGTCTCAGTTAAAAAAAAAAAAAAAAAAAAAAGTTTGGTCGTAACACGAGCGACATGTTACTTTCCACGCCACTTTTTCCTTCCAAAATGCATTTTAATCTACTTGCGCTTCACTGCCACTCCCTCCACCCAGTCGCACCCACAGAAGGATATACAACGTGTCTGTCAGCGGGGTGGCCATTGAAAGTGGGGGGCCCCGACAAAACCGCCACTTAGCCTAGCGCTGGGCTAGCACAAAGGCCCCAGGTCAGAGGTTGCTTGGTAGGCAGGAGCTCCCCACACTCTTTTGTATCCACCCCTCTCCCTTCCTCTCTTGTTGGAATTTTTGACCATCTCCAACCCCCTCCCTTCTTTTTTTTTCTTTGCAGGTCTTCTGGGCTCATTGTCTGAACGGCCTCTTCCATTCCGTCATCCTCTTCTGGTTCCCTCTCAAAGCCTTCCAGCACGGTGAGCAGCTCCCGGAGATTCACGATGAGGAGGGAGTGCAGTCAGCGTCGCATACTTTGTCTTAATTAGCGCTTTCTGCATGCGTCCACTGGTCAATTGCTAACATGTGTCTCCTGTCCTCCAGTCACAACGGGACACGCACTCTATATCGTGTTAGCACCACTTCTTCATTCCAATTCATGTAAACGAGGCTTAAGGGATTGTTTTACAGTCAAATACAGTGGAACCTCTAAAGTGGAAAGCCTCCAAAGTGGTACAATATGGTGTTCAAACTCTGTTTTTTCCAAAATATGCCTCAACAGTCAGACGTCAGCAAATCTTGTCCGTCTTCACGGAAAAAATGCAGATGTTAGCGTAAATAGCATGTCGTTAAAATAACAATACACCATGTCTCGTATGTAAATTGACCAGAGAAGCTTGGAAGTGAGCTGTTTCCTTTCAACTCCCCATTATGTGCCGATCAGTTTATTTAGTTTTAGTTTTCCCACACTTGCACGAAGACTCTCAAATGTCTGTTGATGTGAATGTCACTGTCAATCGTGGTTTGTCTGTATGTGCCGTGCCATTGACTGGCGCCCATTCGTCGGTTGACTCCACTTCTTGCCCAAAATAAGCTGGGATAGACCCCAACTCACTCTACATAATGTGCTCCCTCGCCATATCACAGTTTTTTAAGCAATCATGTCTGTAGGTTTTACTTATTATAATATACTCATGTGTGTGAAAAGGGAGTCACGGTCACTCGTGAATTTTTAAGCCCTCTGTGTAAACACACGAATGTAACAGCTGCTGTCGGCCACAGCTCATGCCCAGACACTCACACAAAGACTCGCCGGTGAGTCGCACAGCCGCCCCGCCTGCCCTTTCCTCTTAAAACCACATGTAGTACACGTACACAGACTCTATAATACATACAGTGATATTCTATACATTTTATACGTTCATATTTTTACTGGACTCGACTTTGCATTTTATTCACGTGTTTGCTTCCAGCTGAGTGGCAGCCGTTTAGGGACGGTGTAGACGCCAGGTGACCGTTTACTGTCAGCATCAAAACCATCATGTTATTGTGCAACTATAACTGATTTCATTCACTTTGTCGATAGTGTAGCCTCTGAAACTTTCAATCCCCATACAGATACAGTGTTTGGCAATGGAAGGACACCTGACTATCTCCTTTTAGGAAACATGGTTTACACGGTAAGTAAGCATACATCACACACACACACACACACACACACAAACACACAAACATCTGACGTGTCTCCAAAAACATTTTTTGTGGAAAAGTAAGCGTTTGTATTCATCTCGTTGTTATTTGTGTGTTGCAGTTTGTTGTCATCACAGTTTGCCTTAAAGCAGGCCTGGAAACCTCATCCTGGACTATGGTAGATATGAGTAATCATATTTTTTGGGGTGTAGGATATCAGCCTTATATGTATAGGATTATGCCTTCTTCAGGAAAATGTTTACTTTTTTCCTCATTAGAAGTATATTCTCATAAAATTGTGATTCTCAACATTCTGCTTATCACACTACAACGTTCTACTCATAAAATTATGGTCTTTTCAATAAAATGATTATGTTTTCTTGTAGCATGTGTATTCAGAAATAAATTTTGGCTTTTTTTTTCCCCTAAAAACAATTACATCGGACTCATAAGATGCCTTCTTTTCACACGCAATCCTGAAACATTATTTGGATCACAACACAACATTTTCCCTGATATAAATATCACTGAGTCCCATCTGTTTTCTTTTTTTTCCCTGTGTGGTAATACTCAAGAACTACTGTGAATGTGTTTTTCTCTCAGCATTCACACCAATATGAGAAGCATTCCAAATAAAGCCACTGCCACAATGTTAGCGTGGCTCACTGACGCTGTGCTTTGGTGTTTGCAGTTCAGTCACATCGCCATCTGGGGCAGCATTTGCCTGTGGGTGGTGTTTTTTGTCATCTACTCGTCCCTGTGGCCCCTCATCCCTCTGGCCCCCGACATGTCGGGCGAGGTAAGCACACGCGCGCACACACCTGCGTTACCTCACGAGTGACTCTGTGCGGCAGAGGCTCGCGAGCGCACCTTTTGTAAGGAGAAGCAGAGGCTCGGAGCCTGTCAGAACTCCGGCTTGCGTTGCATAATCACTTAATTGGGCCAATTAGGAGTCTGTTTGTGTTACGCCGGCCTCCCTCTGCGCTGAGTATCCGCAGGTGACGCTGAGACAGCGAGGCAGTCTGCCAGCAAAACAAATCCAGTTGAGGCGAGTCGCGCCTGTGTCGCAGGAAGCAGACGACCCTGAAACTGTTTGCTTTTTTTTTTTTAACGTTTTCCTCTTGTGACCGTTACGTCTTGTGTCTCTGGTCCACATCAACAACTGATGTTTCCCACTACATTCTTAGTTCTCATCACCATAAAGTAAAGTACCAAAATCCTGGCAGGAAGTTGCTCGACATATGCAGATTTCATTCCATGCGCTGTTTATGACGCGTGGTGTGTTATTTTTTTCCTTGCATGTTTATATATGGCTTATGCCAAGAATGGTAAAAAGCATATATTTGGAGAGACATACAGCATTTTTTTTTTTTTTTTTTACTCAACTGCAGGGACATTTAGCAGTTTAAGTGGAGTGGAGGCCCTTTGTTTCAACCCAACCATGTTCTACTATATTGAACTTGATTTAAAAGCAAAACCAAATTGACTATTAGAGATTTAAGGTACGAACCGTGGTAGGCTGGGTGCCACATAAACAACATTATGGATGATTCTCGATGATGCCATCTCCATGTAACACACGGTCGTCTTTATGTAGTCCTGTGCAGGGTACCTCATTCATCCACGTTAGAAACCTTCTACATTCTTTCGGAGGTGCTGTTTTGTTTAGTTTTGGAGTCAAACCACGATTATCAGCGAACTCTTTTTCCTGCAAGTGTCCGATGGGTGTATTTTCCCAGGAGACTTTGGGCCTCGTGTGACCCAATAGCTGCACACGCACACACTCTATACAGTAGTATTCCTTGCTCTGTGCTTTCATGGGCGCACCGCAGCACTCCACTGAACGCACTAATGCTGTCCTGGGACAAGCTCGTAACCTTACACAACAGATGACCCCTCCCGCCCCTCCTCTGCAATATACGCACCCCAACTTGGGGATGCCAGCGCACGCACATCTTTCTTTCTTTGTATGAAACCTGAGACTGCATCACAGAGGAAGATCTTGTTTAAGACCTGGGACACACAATCTTTCACAAAGACCATCACCCCCAACCAAGAGACCCCCCGCCCTTGACGTCAACTTCAATCTGCATGTCTTCTGCCCTTGCCTCTACCTCTGTTCCTCAACTACTTGTTGGGTCAGCATGTTTTTCCTTCTTTGTCTACCCCCACCTTTGACAAAAACAGCCCCAGGGTGCCAGAACTCTCCTCTCCTCTTTGTCATCCTCCATGTGGTGTCATGGTAACACATTCATCAATGTCAGGCATAATATTTTCGCTCTTGACAGGACAGGTGCAGAATCCATCCGTCAAAATCGCACACACGTCAGATACCCCATACACACGCATACCCCAAATGTCGGACATGGATATCAAATAACAGACGAGATAATACAATTTCTGTAGAAACTGTAAATGAATGCTGAGTGGTTGACGCCAAACTGAAATGCTGAAAAGTAAATTGAATTGTTGAAATGTGAAATGTAACACATGAAGTTGGAATAGTTTGAAACAGTCAAGAAATGCTGATGGGGGTGGTATCTATGTGAAATGTCTCTTCATTTGGAGATTTAAATAAAACTGTGGGACATTTGAGAATATGATAAATAGTTCTGGACAGGTCCTAAATTAGTTGCAGGGTGGTTATAATTGGTTGAGAAGTGTGGCTGGATGATATCCAGTAAATCTATCCTGTATCTCTTAGTTTGGGAATTCTATTGGAAAATGTGGAAGAGTGGGAACAATGGGAATTTAATGAATCATGCGAAGATAGAATGGTAGCCGGAATATTGATTTGGAAGTTTGAATGGTATGAAGCAGTTGAGAAATGTTGCAGGACAAAAAAGTGGGTGCCACAATCCAGATCCAAATTTTGGTGTCGAAAGAATAATGTATATTTGAATGCTTTTCAGCACCAAAAATGTCCCGGGAGTTCATCATTATGGTTTATTTAGGACTGCATCATACCAAGTGCTGTTTCTAATGTTTTAATCCCTCTCACCTAGTTTAATAAAAACTTTTTTTTTAGCTGGCACTTCAAAAGAAATCACCCTGTCATATTTCCTGATGTATTTACTGTTGTTTATGACTCGTGTCTGTGTAATGTTTTTCCACCCTTCTGCCTCTGTGGCATTTGCATCGTCAGACTCTTTTCAGCCGCTCGACTGCACAATGAATAACAGACTGCATTGTACAGTTTGAGTGTCAAACCCCATCTTGGTCTTGTCTAAAAACTGCAAATCCCACTGCTGAATTTCAAGTGTTGACGGTTTTTTGTGTTTGTGTGTGTCTTTGTTGGTGAATGCATGCAGAGAGGATGGACGAGTTGAGCAAGAAGGTCTCTGTTTGCTTTCCCCGCTGGAGCTCTTTTGTGGCATTATTGGCAGATTTGTCTGTGCTGGTGTTGTTTTAGGGGCTGGCCCGTGTCAACGAGGCTGTCAGTGCCGTGATGAAAAGGGAGCAGGATCTTTGTTTTCACTCTTTTTTTCACGTCACTGTTATTTGCTGTCTGTTCATCATCGCAGGCATTGAAGTTAATGGTGCAGAAGCTGTTCATCTCTGCTTGAAGCCGTCTGTGGGCTAAGGCAGCGGTCGCCAGCTATTTTGCGCTGTGGTTTCTCACAAAGCAAAATTTTACAGACCAGCATACAGGAGGTGGTGGGGGAGACAGGACAAATATACAAATTAAAGAACGCTTATCTTGCCTCATATGGGTGACGTTGTTAAAATATGCCCACCTGAGTGTGTTTTCTCTGAGTGTTTCAGCTTCTTCCCACATTCCAAAAATAAGCATTTCAAGTTCATGCCAATATTGTACAGTATCTGTACAATACACATACATCAAAGGTAAACACTGATACAACTTCACCAGCCTGACACGTATTGTACCTTCGGAATAAGAGGAATGTCGGCTTGCCATTCGGCAAGCACCAAGTTATGAGCCAGATCGCCTGCTTCGCTCCACACTGCTCAGCTGTGGCCGAGCCAGCATGCTCCTGTCAAGAAGCCACATTGAGAAAAGAGAATTAATTGATGGTGGTATCATTTAAGTTGTCCTGTCACAGTTTAGTTATTTGACTTCTTTAAAGTCACTTGATCTGGTATTGAACATCCAAGAGGTACACTGCATCAGTACGCAGTCACATCGCATTAGTTTGCATTGGTTGATATCCACCAGACACGCACATCTTCTTTATGTATGTATGGACGCCTTTAAAATAGTTTCCTTAGTATTCAGCCTGACACATGGCATAGATGAAATGTCTTATGTCATAGGCTACATTTCAATAAAATGTGTGTCAGGACTGTTAGAAATGACAGCAATGACAGGTTGTTACTCTAAAAAGGGTTATACTTTATTGAAACTCATACCATGTTCAAAAGAAAGACATGGTTTTGATCAATGTTTGAAGACTCTCAATCAGGGGTGATCACCCTTTTTTGATTCTCGTTCTACTTTGCGAGCAGCCAACCCCCCGAAACTGACCAGTTCCGTGTCAACTTCGCTAACCTCCGACTTGGCAGCAGTCCACGGTCTCTCAATCCAGCACCATCCATTGTTTGGGCACCCTGCTCATTTCTCCATCGACATGAACGTGAGTGTGTGAATGGTGAATTGTCTCGTGTCCTGCGATTGACTGGGGACCAGTCCAGGGTGTGCCCCACATAGGCCCAAAGTCAGTTAGGGTAGGCTTCGGCTCATATGTGACCGCTGATGAGAACAAGTAATAGAGAAAATGGATGTCATGGATGACTGGAAGAATTGAGCATCGTGTACATGCATGTGGTTACTCTCACCATGTGAATGTACTCTGCAAGGACAAAAGCTTTGGGACACAACTCTTAATCAATATACAGTCTTAATCAGGCTGAATTGGAGCTCCTAGTTTGCATTAAGTCTTCATTTTCCATCTGATCCAAAACATTTTGGGCACTTGTGCGATGCCAACTTTGTGGGAACAGCTTGGGCAAGAACATGTTTTGCAAACAACCCACACCAGTCAGTCAGTTTATTAGTTTGTCCTGAAAGTGCAGCCCCCCCATCCCACAGGACTCCTTTCAATCCCATCTCGCTCCTGAGGGCCGCCGCTGGTATGAGGCGTCATTCAGGCTCGCTCAAGACAAATGTTTGTTGTTGCTTTGTTTGCATTCTTTTACTGTTTATTTAGGTAACCTTGTCTTGTGGGTTCTGTTCTGTTGGATTTCAACATATAAATTGCCATATTGACATACTATTATTTTTTTAAAGCACCTCTTTTTAAAAAATATACACTGTAATGAATCAGAAACAGTCTAGTCATGATTAATTTGGTTTAATTTTTTTTTTTTTTAAACAAAACAAAATAAAACAATGGCCACTCTATACACCACAGTGTGTTCATGGAAAACGGCTGTGCAGACAGTAAACAAATAATTAAAAAGGCCTATTGACAATTGTTTGACTGACTAAAAAAAATAAAAATGGACGTGTGACCCATTTTGAGCCCCACCACTTAGTTTGGGAATGCCTGATTTAATCTAATGATTTATTTTTCAAGCTTTTCATAGTCTGACTTACACTATCAACTCCTGATTTATTTTTCAAAAGGCTCGTTGGACAGCTTAAACGTCGTCATTAAACTGTGACAAAGACTGGATGAACGTGAAAGTAATGAAAGCAACTCACAAGAAAAGCAGGCAAAATTTCCACCCGTTTGTAATTTTGCCGTCTAATTTGGGTCCCATCACCTTGTTATATGGTCGTGTGGCCGAGCCACACAGAAAAGCTTCATTCATCGGTTTATGCCATTAGCGGGGGGGAAGACACTTTTTGATTTCCTGTCGTTTGGGGTTTCCTCCAGGCGCCGTGTTTTGTCACGCATCAAAGTCAATTTGCAGCTAATGGCTGGCCGATTAGCTCATTTGAGTCAAACGTGCCGCTTTGATACTTTTGACACTGATGGTGCGCGCGCGCGCGTGTGTGTGTGTGTGTGTGTGTGTGTGTGTGTGTGTGTGTGTGTGTGTGTGTGTGTGTGTTTATCCTGGGGGCCCTCGTGTGTGTCACGTTACAGGAAGGGCACAACTGAGGGGGCCCCAGCAGTTTGAACAAGTGGCACATCACAATGCGAGGAGCGCAAAGTTGTGCACTTTGACACGCAATGACAGAACGTTTCAATGCAAGCGGCCCAAAGTAAACACGGTCTTGCACAGAAAGCTGAAAGACACATGACCCCCCCTCAAGCTCCTTCCTACAAAGACCCCCCCTCCCAAAAAAAAAACCCCTCCTGAATCTCCTCAATCGCGTATGGATTTTAAATGAAAATACCACAGGAGCGCAATCTCGAAATGTTGATGTTTCCCAACATGACACACTGATAAACGAGTACTTAACTTTCGATTGTGCATGATTAAATTGGGGTCAACTGAGGTAATTTTCCAGTCTTTTCCTCAAAAATGTTTCAGCATTTTAATCATGCGCAACTGATGTACATGTCCAAATGAATAAAATGCAATGTAACCAAAGGGCTTTGTTTCCCCAGTATGAGCAAGGATAAGATCCATCTTATTACATTATTGACTTTAAGCGGAAGTCATAAGTGTGTTTCAAAAATCAAACATGAACAACTGCACCGTGTTGTTGAGGCAACACATAGTGTAGGTACACTCTGGGTCTTAGAATATGGGACATTTTTATTGAAGACTTAAAGGGAGCATTTCATGATAAATTGGCTTTATTAATTGCTTGTATCTAAATACAGTGGTACCTTCTCCGCCTTTTATTTATTTTTGGGTTTTTGAGACAAAAAAATAATTATGAATGAGGTTCAGGTATGCTGGTTCTTGAACGAAGTGA